CAATGCTAGGGGGAATTTTCTCTGTTAAATCCTTCTATTACTACTTGGCCAAGAGAGAGGAAATATGCACTGATTTTCCTTGTAAGAAGAGTTGAAAATTTAAAGCATCACTTAGAGTGGCTTTTCTTGCTTGGGAGACAACTAAATAGTGCACTTTAACCTTGTATAAGAAGATTTGGAAGGACAAGATTCTGGCTAATGGTTATTCTTTGTGCAAGAGGGATATAGATCATGCAAACATATCACATTTTAGTGTCTATTTGCTTATAGATTGTGAACTCTTTCTTATAGCTCTTGGGTATAAGAAAATGGATTACTACTTGTATCACCTCGGTGTCTTATGCGGTAGTCATAAATGGAGAACCTTCAGAATTTTTTAGGCCTGCAAACGGATTGAGACAAGGGGACCCATTATCACCACTTTTGTTTATTGTGGTAATGGAGGCTTTGAATAGAATACTTCTAAAAGCTAGGGAACTGGACTTTTTTTGGGGCCTGCACGTTGGTGATGGAAGCTGTAAGGAGGAGATCGCACATCTATTTTTTGAAGATGACGTCTTTCTTTTCTGTAAACTGGAGAACACCGCGGTGATGAGTATCAGATGTATTTTTATGGGTTTTCAAGTGGTTTCTGGTCTGAAAATAAATTTGGTAAAATATGAATTTATAGAGATGGGTGATATGGAGCAACATTTGAATTTGGCTGAGGTTATGGGCTGTAAATCATCAAATTTTCCTATTAAGTGCCTTGGGTTACCTCTGGGTGCCAATCACAAAGATCAAAGGGTTTGGGAACCGGTTATCAGCCATGTTGAGAGGAGACGTACTGGTTGGAGATGGGGGTTGCTCTCTAAAGGAAGCCGTTTGACTTTAGTAAAAAACACACTAAGCAACTTGCCAATTTATTACCTATCTTTGTTTACTATTCCAGCTAGTGTTGCTAAAAAATTGGAAGCTATACAGTCAAAATTTCTTTGTGGTGATTCTGTGGATGCTAGAAAGTTTCATTTGGTCGTTTGGAATGAATTGAAAAAACCTTTATAGAAAGGTGGATTAGGGATTCGGTCTTTGATTGAGATGAATCAAGCTTTGCAGGGTAAATGGTTATGGAGATTCATGAATGAGGATAACGCTATGTGGAGGAAAATGACTGCCTCTAAATATGGGGTGGATGCGTTTGGGTGGCTGACTCTTGGGGGGCAGAGGACTCACAGTAAATGTTTGTGGAAAAAAATTGAAATGGGCAAAGCAAATTTTATGAACCAAATTCTTTGAAAGGTTGGTAATGGGTTGCAGATCAGTTTCTGGAATGATGATTGGTTGGAAGGGGGTCCACTCAAAGATAGATTTTCCAATGTTTATGCTATCTCCACCCACAAGGCTGCCCGTGTTTCAGATTGTTTTCAGAGAAATAAGAATGGAAAATGATCTTGGGAGGTGGTGGTGAGTCGTAATTTAAATGACTGGGAGTTGCTGGAGTATGAAAATTTGATGAAGATCGTAGCTGGTATCAATTTGGGCAACAATGTGGATAAGCCTTTGTGGAATATCACAAAAAAAAGGGTGTTCACGGTGAAATCTTGGTACAAAAAATTGATGCAGCATGATGAGTCAGCATAATTGATTGATGGTAAAGAAATTTTTTCCCGTTCAAACAGATTTGGAAGGCTAAGGTGCCTTATCGGGTTTCTATTTTCGCTTGGGAAAGTGTATATTAACAATTGATAAATTAAAGAGAAGGTGTCTCACTTTGGTTAATGCTTGCTACCCATGCAAACAGGCTGAAGAGTCTTGCTGCCACCTTCTGCTTCACTATCCTGCTACTTATCCACTGTGGTGTGGGGTGTACAGATGCCTAGGGATCAGTTGGATTATGTCGGGATCGGTAAGGGAGGAGATTGGGGCTTGGAAGAGTTTAAAAAGCTGCTTTTTTTTTGGTAGACATTATTCCTCTTAGTATTTTGTGAGTTGTATGGAAAGTTAAGGAATTGTAGAGCTTTTGAAGGAATTGAGGATACAAAGGGTTTTGATGACTGAAAAATTGATGGCTTAGGACCCTAGAATTTTTGCTTTCAGGTCATCCTCCAATTATGGTCCAAATGTTTAGGAACACTTTCTGTTTGGAGGATTAAGCTGTAAATAATTGTACATGAACTGCACCATTTGGTGCTTATAGCAATACATATTATACTTTTACTTCAAAAAAAAAAAAAAGTCTCGTGGGTATTAATTAGGTGATAGTCTCTTAGGTATTAATTAGGTGATGGTTGGTACAAGGGATGAGATTTAGGCATGCAATGGATCAGTAAAGTGAAGAACTCGGCCAACCTTATTCCTTTGGCTACAGTGATTTGGAAAGAAAAAAACATGAGAGCTTTCAAGGGTATACAAGCTAATTTTAATAGTCTCATAAGTACATGGTTCTGG